CGCGGTGAGCCCAGCCTTTCCGCAGGGGCGCCATGAGCGCGACGAACTGCTCTCCCGGGACCTCCCCTCGCTCCAGAAGGTAGTGTGGGGGATGCCTCCGGAGTCACCCTGTGCCAAGGCGGCTCCGCGGGCTCTGGCCCCGGAGCTCTTCTCTTTCTGTCGGTAGCCAGGCTTAACGTAAGGCGCCGTTTTGTCCACCCTTGTACCTGTGTGCCTCCTTGTCCTACACGTTTCCGTTTCTACTGTTCTGTCGTTCAGTAATAAAGTATTCACCTTGTGCCTTCTAGCTGCTTTCTTCTGTTGCTGTTATTTATTTTTCCAAGTGTGTTGTTTAAGGTATTTCTGGGCACAGCTAGTGGGAAAGTTCCAACGTGAAAGAATCGTATTGTTCCATATTTAATACTTTCCTACAACGCCAGGACTGAAGGATCTTGGCACGTTTTCATGGATGTAGCACATTGAGGTTGTGATCTAAGCAGCTTTGGTGAGCCGTCTGTAAATGTCACCGCTGCCCCAATGTCACCAGCCTGGTCACTTTATAATCAAAATTCTGACACTGGCTTCAGAATCAGACTCTGGACTGTGTCTTCGTTAAGCAGATGTTTAGTAAAGTGACTTCTTAACTTTAATTCTGTTACTTGTGGTATCATTAAAAAAAAAAGTGTCAAATCAACATAAATAACAAAAAAGAACACTTGCTAAGACGTTTTTGAACTCTACATGCAGCTCTATTTGAAAATTTGGTGCTTGTTTGAGTGAATTACATGTCTGAATGCAGCAAACATTGCTTACAATAAAAATCAGATATGTAATTGTACGTATGTATTCTTGATTTGATTTATGTAATATTGACGTGTTTTACATCTAGTACTTCAACATAAGATTCTAGAACTTGGAAGTGTCCATTTCACTGTCAAGGGTGGACAAGCTATGTGTATAAGAGCATCAAGTACACCAGAAAGGAAAGCTTGTAGATTCCTAGACCTACACCTTAACTTACGATAACCGGTGCATCAGCTAACCTGAATTACGCTCTTTATTCAACAGTCTGTCTTTAGAAAGTGTTTTTCTCTATGCATATCAGATGGTGATTCTGTCACAGATTATGTCTTCCTGGTTATCTTACAGTGACTACTGTATCTAATTGCACAACAATGTACTTTTTGTGCACTTTGTCTCTCCTTTTCTTGCCTCTTCCTCTTCCTTTCACGTTCACCTTCCCTACGTAACCCATGAGACATAACATTGTCCTTTTTCCCTTTTCCATCAGTTGGCGCTATCTCCACAGTGTAGTATATCTGGAAGCTGTTCTACATCAAAGCTTTCGGTTCTTCTAAATGTTGTGATCTCCCGTTAATACCTGGAGCACAGACAAGCTAATCTGTGTTAAAACTGAAAATCTATTTTTAACTATTTTAGAAACTCTTTTTATTTTATTGTCTGAAGCTTACATGTCATTAGAAACTGTTTCTGTCCAGGCTGGCAACCCCTCATGTGTCATCCAGATATACTAGTTCTCAGTCTCTGAGTCAGGAGGACTTCACTCCTCTCCCTTCAATCAATGAGCGCTTGGCCTTTCTCCGTCCCTCCCGGGAGCTGCTGGAATACTACCGCAAGAAGATTGCTGACTTTGATGAGGAACATGAGGATTTGGTAAAAAGGCTGGAGAGATACAAAGAAACGTATGATGAGCAGGTTAGGAAAACAGTTTTTGAATTATGATGAACTACGTATCCTTGCACAAACATAATTTTTTTTTTTCAGTTGAAAACTGCACAGATGGTCTTAAGATTTATAAGTTAAGTGGTAGAACTGAGCTAAGAAGAAATAAGTAGATTTCAGAGTTTGATTGTAAAATCTAGCTATCTGTCCTCTGTCAAAGCAAAGGGAAATGTGCCTGTAGGATATCCTTCTATTCTTAAGTTATTATAGTTTGATTGTATCTTCACAGTGGGTTGTTTGTTTCTGGTTTTGTTTGTTTGCTTTTTTTTTAAATTGAAGCCTGAGTTTAGATGTTCAGTTCCCATGTTGTCCAACTTCTTTCTCTTGTTTCTGATAGTGAAGAATGAGTGCTCTTTTGCTCAAATTTAATGAGATTTCAGATACAGACATAATTTCTTTTTACTGCAACGGAATTCATAAGCTTGGCTGTAAGCTGTTAAGCAGTAGTACTGCACAGCAAATAAAAATGAATTTAAAAGAAACTCCAAAACCTAGAAATTTTTGCCTTTTAAGAGGCAAAAAAAAATCTTTCAGAATGTCTGTAACTTCAGTGCTCTGATAGGCCTTACAGCATACATCTGTGTAGCAGCTGTCTTTGTAACTATGAGTGACCCTTTGGGAACAGAATGGTTGCTTCTCAGGTGGTTGGGGTGCCTCCTCAAGTACTGGCCATGCTTGGAGCAGCCTGAAATGTCTCAGGAAATTTGCGGCATACAAGATACTTTCAACATACGGGAAAAAGAGGGGCGAGTTCCAAAATAGTGCCTTCTCTCCTACAGGAATGGTTTTCTGAAGGGTTTGTTACTTTTCCACACCAGATAGAAAAATTGTTGATGAAACTTAGTAACTAACCAAATTTCTCACTACTAAACCATGCAAATGTTTCAGTGGTTATTCTTCAGTGAGTTCTTTTTAGAGTAAGTGCTATTACAGAGGCTTTGCTAGGTTTTTGTTGACGTCAGACTCTCCATACCTGTGCCGCTCTGTCTACCAGTGGAGACATAAAACCACTGGAAACTGGACACCCTAGTTTAGACTTTATTTGACTATTGTCTTGTGACAATGATTCTCAGGGCCTTGAGTTCCCTGTCGAAACATTTTTTTTTTAATATTTTTTCAAATACTGCCCTCATCTGGTCAAATTTTGTCAGAGAATAAAATAATTCACTTGAACTGGCCGTTGTTCTGTACCAGTTACGGGCTCAGGGCACAAGCAGTTTGATGTTTGCAAGTGTTGCCCAATGCTTTGTATCATTTCAAGTACCACGTCCTCTCTACCTAGCACAAGTTGCAATGGGAAGTACGTCAGCGAGAAGAGGAGATTGCGGAGTTACAAAAGGCTTTGAGCGATATGCAAGTCTACCTCTTCCAGGAGAGGGAACATGTCCTTCGTCTTTACTCAGAGAACGACCGTCTGAAAATCAGGTGTGCTGTCTAGGTGGTGAGCTGGGTCACTGGCAGTAGCAATTGCATGCGTTGTCTTCTAGTTCTCATCCAGATCTGGAGTCTTCAGAGAAGCAATTATGCCACACTTCCCAGGGGGGGGCTCCTATGAAATCGTACCAGTCTTAGAGGCGCAATGCAATCTGGGCTGCTAAATATGTTTCCACTTACTCCTCCTATTCCAGTAGTAGAAGGAAGAGCAGAAGTTGAACATAGATTCAGATTTGAATTGTGTGCTACCAGTTTGAATGCAGAGGTTCTGATTTAAGCAGACCTTGCACCTACCTAGCAAAACTTCCTCTCAGAGCCCTAAAAACACTCAAACTCAAATAGAAAACAAAACCCAAAGCAAATAGTTTTCCCTGACTCTTTGGGGTCATGTTGACAGCCAGTCTTTTTTAATGCCGTGTAGTTGGTGAACTGGAAGATAACCAGCTGTACCAGAGTAGCTGCCAGTGGCAAAGGAGTTCCAAACCTTCTTTGGAACATTTGTAGGTGCTAATATCAAGTTTTCTGTAGAAGCTTGAAGAACTTAAGTTAAAATGTGTATTGGTGTGCTTTGGCACTTCTCCAGAGTGTGATGAAAAGTCTGATACAGCCATTAATGTAGTTTGCTTTAAAAACAAGGGATGCTTACAATCTGTTGAATGAAGTATCTGAAAGGATTTTAGGTAGTTCATAGCTCTGGAATGGAAATTCTTTACTACCAGGTACTATTGCTGTATCAGGCTATGTAGTATTGTCATATTTGAAAAGAGGAATTCTCCCCAGTGCCAGTGGAATTGGCGGTGTTCTCATATCAGCAACATCAGTGATGTCTTTGGGAGTTTGTTTCTAAAGCAGTATTCTCAAGAACTGCAACAGTTTGGAAAACTTGTAGGTATTAACGTGTAAACTGGAAGAACAGTGTGTCACAATGTCTTGACGTATTTAAAAATAGTGATGTGCTGACCATTTTTTTTGAATTCCAGGGAACTGGAAGATAGAAAAAAAATTCAACATCTCCTGACTTTAGTGGGAACAGACAAAGGAGAAGTTACATACTTTCACAAGGAGCCTCCACATAAGGCAAGTTCTATTTTTCTGTAGAGCTCTGCTTTTGATTATAACGTGAAGGTCTGTACCATGGAGACTAACCACAGACCAGATCTGTCGCATAAGTCAGAAGTTGCTAAATGAGCCCAAAGCAGGAGAGATCTGTAGCTCTGTAGCAACATCAGGCTTTATTGTAGCTGCTGACAGATAAGTAGGAGCAAGCACACTGGAAGTAGGTGCTGTTACCCCTTCTACCTTCAAAACATACCTCCAGATCAGCCTCCTACATATCAGATAGGAGTCTGAAACTATCTGGCAGATGGTCATTGAGAAGCTGGAGAGAAGACCACAAAGGGAAAAATTAAAAAAGGAAGTGCAGAAAGTGCCAGGTGTGGCGTTTGAAGATCAGCTATCTCAGAGAGCCATGGTAAGGTGGTAATTAGGGCCTCAGTAAAGAGTAAAGCAGTGTTGAGGTTGCTGCAGCAGTTTCCTGCCCAGGAAGAGACGGCAGAAGAGCCATCCCTTCTAGGCAATATTGTATCATGTATTTCAGAAGTAATGCAAAATTGTTTAGATGGCAGCATGTAAGAAGGGCAGTGTAGCTGAACCTACTTAAGAAAGTCATGAATGATTCGGACATACAGAGACTGTGATGGAATATAGGATTTATCTTGGAGTAAGGTATAGAAAAAGACTGAAATCTGCTGCATTGTTTGTGGTTTCTCTGCACTGCCCAAGCAGTACAAAAATCTCGCAGAAACTTTAAAATTCTGCTAAAGGGTAGCTCTAAAATTAGTTCTATTATGTAGCGTCACCTCGAGATAAGTATTGGGGTTATAACCTGCTCCCTCATGGCCTCCTGCTTGTGTTAAGTGGGTTTCAGCTCAACAGCTGGGTTGTTTCAGTAGTTGTATCAGTTTGCTTTTATCCCAGGCTTGTTCAGTAGCTTGAGTGAATGTGCTGATAAATCAAGCTTCATGTTTCTCTGTCTCGCTAAGGCAGGAGGAGTATGAAAGAAGGAAATAACGGGATCTTCATCTTCACTTTCCTCTTCTCTGTCCCCAAAATGCTCCTTTTCCTGCCGAGGGTGCTGATTTTCATCCTAATGAAGCCAGCAAAGGCAGGATTACTTTCCAGTTGTTTTGGTGAAAAAAAAAAAAGTAAGCAGAAATGGCCAAACTCAGCCATGATAAAGGAAACTTTTCAGCACGGACATTACGTTTGTGAATGTCTTCCTTGTCTTGTGGTAGAAGTAAGGTAATGCTGTTCTTTTGGATATCTCATTTTACTCTTCAAGATTTGTTCTTGGCCATTGCAACTTTGGAGAAGTCAGATGTTCAGCGCAGATACCTAATCTTGTTTCTGTAGGTTACTGTTCTGCAAAGGCCAGCTAAATCCAGAGAGCCATGTGAACGGAATGATACTTCTAGAACAGGTACCACACCAAGCAGGTCAGCTACTGATACTTTTTCCACTGTGTTTGTGTCTGGTACACCAAAATAATTTCCTTACTGTGACTAGTTTGGTATACCTCCGTTAAGTTCCCTGAACATATCCATGTGTACATACAAATACATGCAGTAGTCTTGGCTTCCCTTCAAAATCTTTTAAAATAACCTGAGCTGGTTCTCATGTCCGTGATCTGCTCAGCTAAGGAAGAGGCTGGTATGACTGTGGAATGGCTCTTCTGGAGCGATGCAGGTGCCAACAAGACAGGCACCCTTAGCCATAGGTGTTTGAAGGTGTGGGTTCTGCCAGTAGTGTAGACAGGAGTGAGGGTCTGCATGTCTACTTACTGATTTTCTCTTCTGAGAGAACTGCCTTTTCCAAACTGACTAAAATTAGCTAACAAGCTCAAAACTCATTCAAGGCTCAATGCTTGTGCAGCTGTGTCGTCTGCTTATTCATTGTTTACTTAAGAAAATTTGTTAAGTTTGCTTTCTGTATATGCCAAGAAAATTAGTAGGTTGTCTAAATATTTTGATGTCTTAGTGTGGGCTAAAGTTATGCGGTCACCATAAGTTCTGAAGCTCTTCTAGGTAATCCTCCTAGAACTCCATGTGACTGTAGCAGTGGCAAGCTTTTTCCTGATCTTGTAGGCCTGCCAGAACACACAATATTTCATGCCTGGAAAGGTACTAAAGGTAGATTGGAAAACCTTTTTCTACTTCTGTTAAATTTCTGCAATAGGCACCAAGAGGAGCACTTTGAAACCAGCAGCAAAAGGAGAAAAACCAGAAAGTCCTGAGAGATATCAGAGAGATAATCAAACGCTTCTACTTCAGGTAAAAACATTTACTAAGTGATGGACATAATTCCTGGCTGTCTAGGAAATTATGATAGAAAAATACGCTATCTGCTTACGTAAGATGTAGACATACCAATTTTATCAGTCCCCACATCTTACTGTGGATTTCCTCTTTCTGTCAGTTTGCTTAGCTCTTTCTTTGTGATGAATGTAGGCTTACGTTTAAGAACTTGATTCTAGTCCTGGAAGCTTTACCTGAGGAGATGTTTCAGTAATGTCAACTTGAATGTGTTGCCCTTAAATATAGAATGTGTAATTGATGTTATCTCCCATAATTTGGTCGTGGCTACCAATTTACATTAAACCCATAGAAGATGTGCAGCGCTGGGTACTTTGTGGAAGTCCGACAAAAGCAATGTGTTTGAGACAGAATTAGGCAGCCCCAATAAGATGCACTAGACAATGAAACGTTCCCTTTGCTAGACTTCAGTGAAAGATAGGGTGTAGGTAGCATGACAGAATGAAAGATAACATGCAGAATCATAATTTGGGGAAGACACGAGAAGCTGTATGCAAAGCATGAGTCGAGAAAAGCAAATTAAAGAGCAAACTTGTACAGCAGATAGATGTATTTTATTTTTTTAAATTTTAATTTTTGTTGTTGTTGTTCCAAAGGCAGTGGTGACTGACCTAGTGGCCAGTTAGCTGTCTAACAACATTTATTCTGGAGCAAAAGCATCATACAAAATAGTCACAAAACCAAGCAATCTAAATTCACGCCAAGTTTTTTCGGATAGTTTCTTACACATGGGCCAGATGCACAGTTTTCAATTACTTGTTCCAATTTACGTCTGACTATGTGCCCTAGATCAAGATTCTTTGAATCTCTCTCCTTTACTTATCTTGTTTATGTTTAATGATTCATTCTGGTTGAGTAATTTCGTTTAAGATATGCAGACTTGCTGCTTTCCTAGAATTTGGATATTTTTGTATCACCATTTCATTGGAAGATGGTAGCATAGGGACGGAAGCGTCTCTGCACATTGCACAGGATTTGTCACATCCTGTGTGCGATTTAAATCTTCCCAATATCTACTGTCTATTATTGCTGCTTATAATATGCCTGTCTTGCCTATAGCATGATTTTTTTTCTTAAGATGTTCTAGTAGTTTGAAATACTTAGCATTAAAACAACATTAAAACTTAGCATTAATAAAAATATGAGAAATTAGAACTCTCAAAGGTATTCTTGGGTAGATTCTTTGATCAGAATCCTGGAATTTAAAAGGAACTTGCAAGGACAGGAGCAGAGCTGCTGTGAGGTCTTATTCAGTAATGTCTTTGTATGTCTGTTCAGGTGGAGGCCCTGCAAGCTCAGATAGAAGAACAGACACGATTATCCAAGGAACAGCTTGAGGCACTACTAGAAGACAGGCGGATTCAAATGGAGGAAGCCAAGGTCCAGCATCAGAGGGACCAGGACAAGATCAAAACTATAACAGATAAGTGAGTGTGAGAGAAGGACCATGGTGTAGTTACAAGATGAGAAGAGAGAGAACAATAGAAATATTTTGGCTTTCAATATGTTGCTTGCTACAGCAGGCAGAAAAGCAAATTATGCAGCCATCTGTTTGGTACTGTATGTGGAAGGAAATAAATAGAGTAATCTACATATCAAAAATCCTATTTCGCATTGAAAGGATATCACTGCTTTCATTAGATGAGAAGAGCTAAACTTGTTAGGAAAGCACATATCTTTTTCTTCTATGCTTCTTCCAACTTGTCATGATGACTGAGGAAATTAAGGTAGGAACTAGGAAAGAATTCTATTAACTCCACTGGCATTCCTGTTTACAGACTCCATAAGACCCAAAATCTCTTATATGAGAGTACTCGTGACTTTCTCCAGCTCAAGTTTGATGCCCGAGCCAACGAGAAAGCATGGATGGCAGAGAAGGACAGTCTGTTGAGGAAACTTGACAAAGATCCGGATCAGCTTATCAGCAGGGAGTCAGGAAAAGAAAAGAAGCAGAGAGATACCAAGAAAATGCTTCGAGCAGATGATGGAGCTTGGAAACTCCACAGCAGAGAAGTAAAGGTATTTTGTTTTTTTGTCTTAGGTAGAGGCTCTTTAGCAGTCTTTGACTAGAAAATTGCAAGCATCTGGGTTTTGCCAAGATAGGCAGCAGCTAGTAGCTGTTTCAAAGCTGTACTGGCTTGCTGTAAGTTATGTTGTTGTTGGCACTAATGTTAAAAAAACTCTCTTGCCTCAGCATTGCTTGCAAATTTCAGATAAAATATGTAGTTAGGATTTATGGTAGCATTTCAGCGTTAGTTTCTTTTATGCCCAGAAGAAATCCCTACTTCTGAAAGCCTCATGATATACAGACCAACAGTTCTTAACCTGCATGTTGCACATGCCTTTCTTTTAGTGTAAATGCTCCCAGCTAACGGACTGAGAATGCAGTGACTGAATCTTCCTTGCTGTTGTCAGGGGAGAACAAAGTTCTAATTGGTGTCCCTAGCTCTTCTACAGTAATCAGGATTTTTCTTCCGCTTCCGGTGAGAAGCTGGGAAATCTGAAGTGAGTAAATGAGGCAATAATGAATGAGAAAGTAAGCAGGCAATAGGAAATTGTCTTCGTTTACCACCGAATGTAGGTGCTTCTGAAATACAATACTGGGCGAGCAGGTGTGAAAAGGGGAATTACGCATTAGTTGAATGTTATTGTTAAGGGGAAGAGGAGAGAGTTCTTCAACTGATGATGAGCTGTCATGCAGAACTAGTAACCTAATTAAAAGGTCTTGGTAATGGAAGTAGTGTTAGAATATTGTCCTTACCTAGTTAATTCATTAGCTCTAGCTGCAGTTGTTAATTTTTATTTGCCTGTCATATTGTCAATCTATCACCCTTGCTTTTCCGGAGCAGGGGAAATTTTGTAAGCACTGGCTTTTGAGTTGATTCTTTCTGTTCCTCCTGTGTCCTAGTCACTGCAAGACCAGCTAATGCAGGAACAGTGCCTATCGAACATGTATAGAGAGCAGTGTGTCACCCTGGAAGGTGAGCTGGCCAGGATTCGTGAGGAGAGAGATGTTGGCAGAGAACTCTTTAAGGTGATTAGTCTGTAATCATCTGCTAGCTATGTGATGATCTCGCAGCCTCTATTCTGTATACCCAATTGGGTTATCATCTCCATAGGAACGCTCAGAAAAGATGGGGAAGCGCCTGAAGCTGATGACTCAGCGTTATGAGGCCTTGGAAAAACGCCGTAATATGGAAGTGGAAGGCTTCAAGAATGACATTAAACAGCTTCGGCAGAAGTTGAAAGACGTAGAGAAGCAGCTTTTTAAGGTAATAGCTAAGCATTTCTGAGGCAGACTGTTATGGGCTTACCCTGTAGAGGTGTATTCTCAGTATTTAAATGCAGTGTTTCCCTAGAGTTAAGGAAATAATTTGTTTCCTAAGTGCTCCTTTAGATATTAATATTTCATAAAACTTGGTCCCTTATGTATATGATGAAGCAAAAAAGCTTTGCCTTTGTTAATCAGTCAGGCATGAAGCTTGCCGGGAACTGTCCTAATTATACATTAGCTGTGTCTTTTTGTTGAAACTCTGACCGTTCTTATCTGATACCTGTAGCTCACTTAGCTGTCTCAAAATTGCAAGGCAGTGAAGTAGTTTGTTTCAGAGGTATACTGTGCAAAGAAAATGATAATTGGTTTTCTTTCTGGGGGCCATAGTGTTTTGTTTAGTTCTAGTAAGAGGTAGATCATTGACTTAAGTATTGTGAATATTCTATTTATTCCTATGTTAATATCTCATTTGTAACTCTGCGAAAAAAAAAAAACTCTACAACCAGTGTAGAAACAATGGTTGGAGATTGAAGCTGCGTACTCTGTGGTAAGATGTAGCTTCTAGATGTGTAGATAAACATCAAAACAGCTTAGAAGAGAAGCCACAGCCTTGATGTTGGTTGGAGTTTAGGATGAGATATTTATCTAAGATATGCTTGAGAGGATGACCTGGGCATAGCTTTTGTCCAGCTGACTCTCAGGAGTCTGGCAGTGCCACTGATTCACTTGCTTTCTGTGCGTTTGGTGCACAGCTCAGTTTATTTAGGCTAATGCATTTGTCTTCACTAAAGGCTTCAGGTTTTTCTAAAAATGTTTTGTTTGGCTGTGGGGTTTTAAACTTTATTTAAGGACTAAACAGCATACGTGAATGTGGGGAAAATTGCGTATGACGCCTTTACTACAGACCTGTATGTTTTGTAACTGTGGTCGTCCTCTTAATTGTACTCTTCATTACTTTACACTTCTAACCACAAGAGGGCAGAGGAACAAAATACTTGCTGCAAGTCTCCAGAGCGATCTTTGAATCCTTCTTATCATTTAAGGTCAAAATTACTACAGACGACTAAATTTCCTGATTTGCATATTAAAATCTTTGACCAAGAACTACATGATGACAATGAGACACCCTAAAGGGTCGAGAGAAAAGAGGGAGAGCAGCTGTCAAGGGTGTTCTGCTCTGCCTTTGAAAGTGACTGGGCTGGCATGCTATCCAGTTCCAGGGTGACAGGAAGTGGCAGCCCCGGCTAGCTTGCCATCAGGAATTCTGATTATCCAGCAGCCTTTGTTCAGTTCAGTATGGGCCATATGGCATGGCCTGAGACTAGGCATTGTATTTGAACTGCTCTTGAATCGTATGCAGTTCAGAAGGCAACAAGTTGGCCACAGCAGTTTGACCACCTCTTGTTCTCGTAGCAAAAGATGACAAAATGTCATCAAATCAAGAGGTACTTAGAACTAGATAAGTTAGTTGGTAAACATTTTAACTTGCCTCTTTTTGTGAGTCTCCAAATACTACAAGAAGTAGAAAGCAGTCAACAGGTTACAGATAAACTTGATTATATTCTGTCCAGATTTCTTCCTCACCACAAGTATAACACTGTAATGTATGAAAGCTTTGTTCTTTATTTTTATTTCTGGAACACTTTTCTATTGGTGATATGCATTAACCCTAGTGACATTAGCTTGAGCATCCTCTTTGCTAGCTACAAAGGGTCTCCTTTAGAGTTCTCTCCCTCGTATCCTCATCATAATACTCTCTAAATTGTACTCTGTATAGCTTTGTTTTTCTTAATCTGTTTTTCTTTTCCTTTTCAGGTGACTCTGAATATTGGACCAGATCAGGATCTTGCAATTCTGCATGAGGTCCGCCAAGGAAACAGACTGACCCGCAAAATTCAAGGAGAATTAAAAACCTTGAAAGCAAAAATCTACGGCCTAGAGAATGAACTACGAATCTGCTGAAGCTGGGGTATTAGCTGGAATCTTAGTTTTAGGAACAAGCCATTGCAAGGCTGGAATAGTCATATGTGAGGGCAGCTCCTGCCTGTCCATTTGCTGGCATCCAGTGACAGAAGGCTTGAAGATATCTGCAGTTAATGTCATAACATTGTACATGAGCTATTCCTAATGTGCCAGATTATATTGCTGTTTCAGCTGAGAGACGGAACCTGATAAGACTGACACAGAAAGTACATGATGACCGATATATCAGGAATATGCTTATGACTTCATCTTACCTTCATATCTGCAGTTGGGGGCAGTGTATACTGGTCTTCAGTTTTATTTGGAGCATATTATAAACCACATAAAAAATTAATAATCATGGAAAGATCTAATTCAAGATCTGAATTGCTTGACTGACCTTTTGCTATGTGAGAAGCAGCTTTTAAAATGGTTTAGATGATTACTTTTTTGGTGCTTAGGCACTTCAGGATGTAACTGGAAATTTTATTTGAAGAAGAACACGTATAGAAAGTATATACTAAAATGTATTACATCTGACTCTCCCCTTGACAGTATAACTGTTTTAAAATGGCTTCCCTTTCCTTGGTTCTGACCTAATTGGGACAAACCTGACTAATTTATTATGGTGGGAAAAGATAACCTGTTATAGAACTCATCTGCAAGAACCAGCAACATCTACTCTTGTATTTCCCTCTTCCTCAATTATTCAAAACTACCCTATCGAGTGCTTTCGTCTTGTCTCCTTCCTCCCAGTTTACATTAACACACAGAGGAAGCCCGTAATAAAAGGCATCTAGTATCTTCCTTAACAACCATATTATCTACCTTGGTAGCTTTAAACAATGTCATGGTTATGTACCAACAAATCATGGTCAACTTTTGCTACAGCAGGTGTTACTACTGAACTGTAACTGAACTTGGGATGGAAGAGCAGGTGCTTAGTTGCTACATGATAAATATCACCAGCTGTATGATGATTGTCTCCATACCAGACATCAGGACATCACAATTCTAGAAAAACAGATGAAATCATGAAAAGGGTTACAACATGGCTTCAGCCCAGTTTATAATTACAGGGTATTCGTGCTTTTACTGTAGCATCAGCAAATATTGTCCACCTTGTAGGCTCAGAGCAGATCAGTGTTGGAAAAGGGATTTCAGTGCCTCTGTTTCCTGATGTACCTTTCCTACCTTGTTAAATATGGCAGAAGCAGAATATCTTTCTGAACTATACACCGATAGGCTTTCAGCACTTCCTTCCATACTGAAAAGAACTTAGTGTGTGAAAGCAGGCAGTTTCTTTTGGACATGGTAGTGGCCGTGGAGATTCTCATTCAGTGTTTGGGAGAGGTAGATATGCAAAAGATGGTTTTGTGCTGTCCAGATTTGGAGAAAGAATTGTTTTTACAGCACCAGCTAAAACGATGATGCGGGAGGGAAATTCCCTTAAAAAGTCATGGCCCACTTCAATTGTGTATCCTTTTTGTGACAAGCTTGCTGTCCCTTATGATCCTGTACTGCAGCTTTTATTTTGTATGCATTCTTGAGGTCAAATTCATCACAAACAGGTGTTAGTGTGGGTGGCTGACAGTCTGTGCCTAGGTGCTCAACTACAGCTTTCCAGAGGCTGTCTTAAAGTATGTTGCACTGATTAATTTAGCTGAAAAATGCTGAGCTGGTTTGGAAACTGATTCCTCAACAACTTGGGTGTCAGTGCTATGTGGACAGTCGAGGAAGGTTATTAAATAATGCTATCCATCAGTTAGTCTCGCTCTTTCTTAGTTGACTAGTACTTTCTCAGATAAGTCTAGCTAATTAAAGGGAGTTTGTGTGTGAAATAACATGCTACTGGTTTGAAGATAAAATACCAAAATTATCACAGGACCTGGAGGACTGTTTCTGCAGACTTCATAGCTATGTAATGAAGTGTTAGCCACTTACTGAGCAGGATCCATCTACTTAAATTCAGCTGATGGGAAGCTAGTAAAAAGGTCTCTTGAACCTATAGAAATAAATGGGTTTCTGTTTATTTTCAACTCTTCCAGGCTAAAGAATTGCCTATGAAATTACGTTTTCCTCACTTGAAAGCCATGAAGCATGTCTGGGTAAAGACTAGGCTTTGACATTCAAGTTTGTCAGATTAGGAGGAAGTATTGGGGGAAGAAGGATGTAAATGTTTCATTTCCTGTCTTCCTTACCAGTATTGCTTATTACTTGAAATACTGAACAGAACAAGATGGCAACATTCCTAATATATCTACTGGTGTGTCAAAATCAAAAGTGCAGTTTGAACTTTATTCTTAATTTGTGACTAGGCTATGAACCCTTCCTATGCATTGGGGGGGTGGCGGTGGAAATTACGGTAGTGCTGAGCTGTAAATCCATTTTATTTGGAAGGTTGAATTTTGTCCAAGGACAGGAAGCGCAGAGTATTGTACATGCTTTTTCTGTGTGACATTGTCGTGGGTACCAGGACAGACATCATGTGATCATGTGAAATGTTGCTTTATGTTGTCAAAACAGCTGTGGACCTTCGAGACAAGAATTGCTTTAAAAAGCCAAGTGTGTTCTACCACTGACAACTACCCTTTAAGATGTCAGTGAAGAACTATTGGCGTTTCCAAAAGGGTTTCCTGGAAGAGGTTCCAAGACCTTTATTAGTCAATTTTCTTCACAATTTTTGGATAGAAAACAAAAAATTGCATTTACTCCAAAGACTGATTAACTTTTTTGCTATTTTAAGTTTGTAATGTGTGACTTGTATCATTTCAATACGAATAAATGCCAGGTTATGTATGCAGGAGCATGGAATTTAAAAGATCTCTAGAACGTCTGATTCTTGGAATACAGAGACTATCCAACAGAGAATTGAAGGTTAGAAGTGGACAAACGTTCTTCTTGTGACCCAAGATACTGAAATATTCCTTGCATAAATAGGAGAAAAGTGAGCAGCAGGGGGAGAATTTATTGTTGTGTAGCATTATTTAGGTAGGCAAGGAGTGCATACATTTCAGAAAGATTGTTGAAATATTGGGTAAGGCACAGAACCACCGATGATTCAGCAGTAGAGAAAAAGTTGTGCAAGAGCTCATACTGTGTAACATTAAGAAGACTGATTAATATACCTGTATCTTGAAGATGAGCAACTCTCATCCCAAGGCCTCTATCCCAGCAGAAAAAGGCTGAACAAGAATCAGTAGCCTGAATCTAAGTTAAAAACGTGTGGTTTCTTTCATTGACAGGAAGATTGCTTTTTTGCCTCATTACAACAAACCGTTTGTGGGGGTAACAGATTCTCCATCTCTATCTTTAAATCAAAAAATGACTGTGCCTCTGGAGAAGGTAACTTGTGTTAACAAGTTACTGGGTTTGAAACATTAGAACTTAATGAAATATAATGATACGAACTAACAGGAAATCATTTAATGGTCCCTTCTGGCTTTAAACATATGGATTTATTTATATGCAATATTTGTAGGAGTTTTTCCCCACTCATGCAGTTGCCTTTAATTGTAAGAATATATGCTGTGTCGGCTCACCCTGCACAGCAAGGTTACACAAGGTAAAAAAAACCCAACAAAACCACTAATAAAAAACCCCCTCATAATCCTCGTAACTTGCAGTAATTCCCAAATTAATTGGTGCCATGACTGTGCTTAGAAAGGCAGATTAAGAGCAGCCACAGTTCGGATAGCTGTCAGAATAAATCTAAATAGTAGCGTAGCATAAACATGTATGCAACGGCTGCACATAAATTGCTTGCGCAAGTAGTCATATCCATACAGAAACACGCACGTTCTACCAGTACGGATGGACTCTGTGGACAGCCTGACGTTCTGGAGTTGTGATGTCAGTATGTAGGCCAGGAAGTAATCCTTTGGTAATAAGATGCTTTTCTGAGGCTAGCTGGGAGCAGCATCCCTGTGTACTTTGTTCTGATAGATCCGTCCATATTTGTGTGAAGCAAAGTGGTTCAGACTTTCGGTTACAGCTCACTAACACATTTCATTCTGCTCTGCTTGAATGTACTTGTGCCTGCTCGGTCAAAACGCTGATGAAGATGTCTCATTTGTCCCCATTCAAAGTGGCATCATGGCTCTTTTGTTTATAAGGAACATTTTATTATTTTTCAAATGCCATATTCTGCACCGAGGATGGAGTAACACTGGGGATAAGTATAAACTGGGAGAGAGCAGCAGCTGGAGAGCGGCCCTGCAGAAAGGAATCTATTAAAGCCCTTAATAACATGCTTTAACTTGATCAGCCCAGAAGTGGTTAGGCAGCTGGACTAGGTGATTGTTGTAGGTCTATTCCAACTGAAATATTCAATTATATTCTTTCTAATTTTTCTGCAATATTTTACTTTTATATTCCCAAGTTCTTTGAATTGTAAAAAATATCCCCTTTACCCCCTAAACAATTATTCTTAAATTTGCATGTCTATCTGTAGAAGCATACACGTTTTTTTAGTTTGTGGACTGTGATTGTGTACCAAAACATACTTGGAAGCAGTGTGAGAGGTGAAAGCTCCAATGATTCTTTTTGGCTGCTGTGTTCACAGGACTTAGGCACCAAGAACAAAGTTTGTTTCCGTTCTTAGGTTGCATCAAAAGTTTAGGATCTCTGGTTTGAAACAAGCCATCGGAGATAACTGGAATTTAACCCACTAGCAGGCAATGTTTCTGCTATGACTGAAGTATTTGAGAAGAGTTGAGTGGAATTCTGATATTTCCCATTTAGCACCAAATGAACTGTCTGGAAAAAGGGCATCTTTGAATATGAGTTAGGGTGGCTACTTTTCAAGTAAGCTCCAAAACTACAGCTTTACAAACAGCCCTCAATGGGCTTGAGTATTCACTTATACTGGCTGAGTGGCATGTTTCAAGAATTGCGACGCCGTTGAATTGTGGACAGATTACGGATGTGTAAATATGGATTATTTGAGTTTTATTCAGAAAACCCCGAGAGACTTTTGACACAGAAGTTTCAATGTTAAA